TAGTCGATAATTTGGTTAATTGAAGGTATGTAAGTTTTTTAGGCGGTTTCAATGAGTTCCAATTTTTCTGAAGGCGTCTTAAACTTGAAATCTCCTTCAAAAACGGTCAAAATCTTGAGTGTATATTTCTAAAAAAAAATTAGCAATAACTCCCTGCTCTACAAATTTGTCGTTCAGAATTTTAAAATAAGTTCCTAAATCCCTAGAAATGATTAAAAATGTGCTGATTTTGGTGATGAGTCATCCAGTCGAACGGAAATGATTAAATACTAAATACAATTTCTCCTCTAATTTACACAATTTTTTGCAGGTTTCTCAACTCCGCCGACACCCCGGAATTCATACCACGCACGGAATTCGCCACGCAAAAGATGCTCCTCCTTTAAAGGAGAAAGAATCGAAAATCGTGTTCCATCCGCTCATCCAATTCTACGATATTCCACACCCTCCATCCCCACCCGAAGTGGAAACACACGGTGCAAGAAGGAAATCACATCCTCCTCATCACAACAAAACACACGGGGTAACATAAAACCACGATTTCAACATACTAACAAAAATCTTAACTCGGAAACATTGAAATTTTAGAAACAGAAAAATTTGACAAGACAAGTAAACCCAAACCTGCACAAGTTTGACCATTTCGAACCCGACACGCAATTTACGGGACATCGGCCCCCGAATCAAGACGACGATGGTGACGCCGAGACGAGAGGCGGATACAGTAGAGGGGGTCGGTCGGGGGGCAATAATTAGCATAATTTGTGGTATTAATTGGATATGGAAATTAATAATAAAATAAAACTTGGTAAATAACTTTTCATGAAAAATATTGCATGAAAATTCACGCAAAAAGATATTACGGGAATTGAAATAAAGTGGAAATAAATAAGTTTTTTACGACAAATATTTCATGAAAATTCATGCAAGAGATTATCTGATTACGGGAATTAAAAATAAACTGAAAATATTTAAAAGTTCACAAATAACTTTTCAAGAAAAATACTGCATGGAAATTCAAAATGTAAAAGATATCACGGGAATTAAAATAAGTGAAAATAAATAACATCTCATGAAAAATATTTCATGAAAATTCATCTGAAAGATATTATTGGAATTAAAACAAATCCAACATAAATAAATTTTCATGAAAAATATTCAAGCAAAATTCATGTAAGGATATTATTTGATTATGGGAATTAAAATGATATGCTTCATAATAAATAGCTTTTCATGAAAAATACTGCATGACAAATTCATGTAAAATGAATTAATAATTATTTGATTACGGAATTAAAATAGTGTGAAAATAGTACGAAAAAATATTCCATACGATATTATTTTATCACGCCAATTAAAATAAACTGAAAATAGAACAGGATAAATGTTCCACGTTTTCATGAAAAATATTGCATGACAAATACATGAAAATCCTTTGTTCATACTTTGGAACTTGGCAGAGTGTGTTTTATGTCTTAGTCTTTACTACTTCCCTGACCTTCAACTTGTTATTAATCTCTTTTCCATCAGGGCCCCTGATGAGATCCAAGCTAGAAATAAATGCGTAAAGTTCGCATCAATTATTTATTAAAGGCTGCGTCCCACTACCATCTGCATATCCACTTCCCTTCCCACTTCATAGTCCGACAACTCTGAAACAATCGAGTCGTTAAAAAATGTGGGGACAAAATTTACACTGAAGCTAATCACGCTATTATTTTTGCAACATTGTAAAATCCATAAATTCTGTAAACTTACAAACTTTTACATTCACGCCCTCCTTCGTAACTACGTAAACAGCGTAAAATCCGTAAACTTACAAACGTTTACAAACGGCTTCCCGTGAATTCACTTTTGCAATTATTTTCGTAAAAATTTATCTGATAATTGAAACAAAATGCCGATCATTTCCAGAAAACGGAAATTAATGGAAGAAATTTGTGGAGCTGCATTTATTGATATAATATATACCACGAACAGTGGAGGCTGTTCCTATAAAAATTTCAACCCTCCAAAATTCTAATCCTAAGTTATTTTTCGACTCCTCACTAAATCTTAGCTGAATATATAACTTCTTAGAAATCGGTATGGGTACCCCTTCCTTATTGTCCATCTGGTTATTTTTTGTTCATCTTTGACTTCATATTCTTTGATGAGAAGCTATTAAGTATCACCGTTCCGAATTTCAGCTTTTTGAGACAAGTTATGAAAATCGGTATGGGTCACCCCAACGGGTCCCGGATGTGAAAATTTTACCGATTTCACTTCATATTCTTCCATTAGGGGCCTTTAGCAGCTTCTATACGAAATTTCAGCTCGATTGGATGATTTTGAAAGTCCGGTATGGGTCACCCCCTCGGGTACCTCTGCTTGAAAAATTTTCCAATTTCACTTCGTATTCTTTGATTAGGAGTCACTAGCAACATATATTGCCAAGTTTCTGCATCGAACAATTTTTTTTCTTCCCCAAATTGAGTTTACAAAATACTTTACAAAATTAAAAGACGCCTGTGAGCTGCGTAAGTTTACAAAAGTTTGTAAACTGGTTTTCCTTGGCAATTTTTGTAAAAGTTTGTAAACGTTTGTAAGTTTACGGATTTTACGCTGTTTACGTAGTTACGATGGAGGGCGTGAATTGCCTCTTTATAAATATTTCTGACGAAAATTAGCTTACAAATTTTTGAAAACTTACTCACATCAAGGGCGTCTTTTCGTTTTTTACAAGTTTGTAAAACTATTTTACAAAGTTATCAAACGACTTAGGATTAGTGTATTCCTTCACTGAAAACTTAATACAAATTTTATTTAGAAACCTGTCAGCATTTATCAAACTTTTTTGTCTGGAAACAACTTCATCAGAAGAAGAGAAGTTTTCCACCTTTTTAATCTGTTCATATTTAAACTGACACAATTAATTATCGCGACCGAAGTAACCCCAAAAAAAGAAGCGTCATTAAAAATTTAATGTCGTCACAAGTATTTTACCAACTTGGAGAATTAGATTACAAATTTTGTAAGTTTACTCACAATGGAACCTTTTTTCAAGCTGCACGAGATAAGCTTCGTGACATATGCTAAAAAATCAAGCTAAAAATAAGAAATGACGTGGTACTTATCTTTCCGTTGAATGGGCACTTTGAGGTCAAATATTTGAGGGCAAAGTTCACAGTAGCGGCCTGTTTTTTCTCAAGCGGGCGAGCGGAGGAGTGAAAATTTTCTCCTTCGAGGTCACTCCGCTCCCTTCACTGTCGCGCTAGTTTCGTTACTAGTATGCATTTCCAAAAATATACGTTTTTGGCGGCTGAGGTGACAATTTAATCGATAGCGGAGAGCTTTGTTCAGTTTTGTGATCGTCGTCGAGATCGCTTTGGCTCATCTTCACGGGAGACTTTTTCTTCTCATACATAAAGTTCTTATACAGTAGCAGGAGAGAAATACAGCTAAAAAGGTATAATTAGGAAATGAAACAAATATTTCGTGCAAAAATGACCACCTGTATGCAAAGCATAGAGAAAGTTGTGTACCTATTTCGGTAACTAACTTGCTCACCATACAAAAATAACCACGAATAGGAAGATTGTACTTACTCCTCAGTTATCATTTATGTACTCCGGCAATTCAACTTTGCATGAAACCACTTAAATACATGCAACTCCATATTTCTCAACACCACCAATAAAAAAATAGGAAACGATAAACACTAAATGCACCCCTCGTAAAAACTTGTATGCATAAACTCCCATGCGATACGAACCAATAATCAATTTTCGTCTTATAAAAAATCCAGCTTTGTTTGTACGTTAAATGCATAGGTAGATTTTTCGATATGCTCATCACTTAATCCATATGCATACTGAAGGGCATGGCGTAATAGAAAATTTCGCCCAGATGCGACATTGACAGATTTGGGAGAAGAGGAGCGGAGAAAATGCAAATGAGATAGTGATGTAGGTCGGTGAGACTCATCAACATAATAAAGTTCAGCGATGAACTTACATGACACCAGTTTTCGAATCATTCTGCAATTTGGTTGACCGTGGCCAAGCAAGTTATCATTAATTTACCAGCAAATACATACATATAGATGGTAAAGGGAAGACGCATTTCGTGAAATCGGCAACTTGTACTAATGAAGCTAAATGTATACACTTGCATTGCCGTGTCAATTGGAATTTCCTATAAAAAACCTACTCCAAGCAACTTTGCTTTTAAGATAGCATTAATACCATCTTGGTAGTTAAGGGCAACACATTTGGGTGGAAATGACCCCTACCGGCCAACCACTTGACCGATCATGCCCATCTCCGAACTCATCCTTACTTTTTACCCGAAGATGAAGCATGCAAAATTTCAACTCGATAGCCTTTGTTTAAAGAGAGTTATCGTGCCTACAGACGGACGGACAGACAGACATCTTGACAAATCTATAAGGCCATCTTAAAAGGCCTAAAAATTGCCTGGCCCAATGTGAAAAGTAAAGTTCAATAAAAGTCGATTATGTATTTACACAGTTGTGGGTGATTCGATGTATTATATTATATATTTATTTATTAACATTAAGGGTGAGATCAAATCAATTATTTGCAATAAAAAATAAAAATAAGCTGAGATTAGCAACTTAATTTTTTGCCCGAGTCAGAACTTATGTGCCCGTTTTGTCCGTCTGTCCGTCTGCCACTATACTTTCGTTAAATTCATCCTATCGAGCTGAAATTTGGTATGGTTAGGTTTTGGAATCACCAACTACTTGTGTGTAAGTAAGTGAATCGAATTTCAAAAAATGTCTGCCTCAGAGATCCGAGAAGGTGATCGATCCTCATTGATTGTTAAAAACTCGGGCTTAATGAATCGGTACCAGAGTTTTTTTTTCCTCAACTCGATAGGTATTTTATTGGTTTATTAATTTTACCTACATACTCAAGAAGATTTATTAGAATTTCTAATTTAGAAACCACAACAGTTGGGAAGACATGATCCAAAATTATGTTTTTTTAGACGCATTTATTTATTATCAATTATCTATTCTTATTAGACATTTATGTACTTACATTCTATATAAATTCAATAAATTAATTATAAAATTGATTGTGTTTGCATTGATAATACATAAATTATTTGATATTGCTTCCGTCCATGCTTACATATCTTACTTAAAGATGATAATCCATCTTTTTCCATATTCTTATTATTTAATGTGTCCGCAGCTAGCTTTTAATTACGTGTTCAGTTCATGGCACAGTTGATTTTTCTTGTATGTATGTGTAGAATAATAATGTAACAAAGTTCCATTGGCAGATCACAGATTGCAAGGCACTTATTATACCCTCCCTGTATAATAAATTGCTACTCAAGTATATTTAATTCAACCAGTTATTACCTACTTTTTATAAATATAAGAATAAATACAATCAGCTTTGTAAAAGGTGGGGCACTTTTTTAGATAAGTCACATTATAAATACAAATACAAGACGCTTCTGATTCAGATCACTGGTCCATTCATTACGGTGATATTTAACTTCAAAATTCGTCGAGTTAATTAACTATTATTATAAATACATATTGTCTCTTTTCAAGATAAAGTTGTTTTAAAACCCTGAAACAAAATGTCAATGTTGATTTTGAACGATTTGCTGGCCCAGGAAAAGGTTATTACTATCTGTTCCATTATTGCAGTTAGTTTGGGTCACGGGTTTGTTGGGGGATTTACACGTCCCCAGGAGGGTGTTTTGTTGTTGGTGTTGGGGGTCCGTCGTGCTGTCGGGCGAGAGTGGGTTGGAATGGTCACTCCCATTTCCGGACTCTTTGCTCACCCACATTTGCTGCTGGCATTGCTGGACGTACTCCAACGTTCGTTGATAAGCTTCTGGTCGCATGGCCTGTGCCGGGCCGGGAGTTGAAGAAGACGAGGCTTGAGACATATTATTCTGCTGTTGAAGCATTATTTTGCTCTGCTGACTCTGACTCGTGACAGATTTGCATTGGATTTCCGGATTGTTTCCACCTCGTCCCCCACCGCGTCGTGGAACTGCCCCAGGAGGAACTTGGTTTTGTGGGAAATAAGTGTTGTTATTCGTATTGGTAGGCCAGGACGGTCCAGAGTTGTTGTAATAGCGAGGAGGAGGAGGAGGAGGACCATTGTTTGTGCTTGCGGTCGCCCCATTGTTTTGACTCCATTGGACAGTGGAGTAGTTGCACTGTGTTCGGGAAACGTTTCCTGGAGGAGGCCTGGGAGCCTGGGGCTGGTAACAACTTTGGGTGTTGTGGTGGTAATTTTGTGGAAATTGGTGTCCGGTTTGGTGGTATGATTGGGTTCCGTAGGGCTGGTTTTGTTGGGCAGGTGGCGCATATCCCGCAGCAGCCGATAGTGGGGCGTGGGCGTAACCATTGTTCACTGGTCCTCCATTGTGTGAGAAGCCATTGTTATTGTTGGGAGGGTAGTAACAAGCACCCGCCACGTTTTGGTGGTAGGTTGGCTGGTGACCATTTTCTGTCCCATTCTGCTGGGGGTAAGCGCCTGGTTGGTCACACGTTCCGTACGGGGCAGGAGAGCTGGGCTGATTGTTTGCGGGCATTCCTCGTTGTAACATATTATTGGCAAGGCTTGGTTGCTGAGAAATGTTGAGATTTCTTGGACTAGGAGAGACCACGTGGGGATGATCTTGACATTTGGGTGGGGAGACCGCGTTCGGCTGAGAGAACGCAGGACTGGGCAAGGGCTGATTTCCGTACGGATTCGGTGGGAAATGACAGGCAGCAGACGGGGCTGGATTATTATTGCTCGCAGCCATGTGGTTTCCACTTTGATAGTTGTTTTGAATTGAGACAAAAGCTGGCCGATTGGCATTCCTGTGCTGCGTTTGGGCTGGGCTTGGAAAGTTTGGGGGGGTCCAACCATCCATCACGGCTTGATTGTAAGGGGGCGGTGGGGGCAGGTTGTTCTGCGGGATTGGGACGGGATACCCCGTGTTCGGAGGGGGGCAAGTACTCGGACGAGTGGGATCTTGATTGCTTGGGTATCCAAATCGCTGCTGACCTTGGCACTCGCTCGCCAAGTAGTTCGCCATGTCGTCAGGAATTAAAAAGTCGTCACCCATTGAGACTTCAAGTTGGGCAGGATTTCCTCCATTTTGTTGCATACTTCCAGGAGGGGCGGTGTTGGCGCCCCCGTTTTGTTGCTGTAGTTGGTAACCAGCAGGGTTGCTGAGCCCGGCTTGTTGCTGTCCGTGCAGCTGCTGTTTTTGTTGATGTCTTTGCAGAGCGTCGTTAAGTTGGCTGGGGGTGACGAAGCTCATTCCTTGAGAGACTTGCATCCTGGAGGTTGTCCCATTTTGCTGCATGCTTGTGCAAGGGTCGGACATTCTTCTCATGTCGCTGAGCGCGTCGGAACTATTTCTCATCATCATATTTCCCACCCAGGACGCGTCCAGTCTCGCAGCCGCGGTTTGACTCTGGATCAAATAGTTTCCCGATGAGGTCAGGGTGTTTTGAGAGCCGTTATTTTGTTGTTGGTTTTCCTTCTCCTCGAGACCAAGGGCGCGTCTGTGGAGGCGTTCGAGGTGGGCTTGAGCCTGGACGGAGGACGTGAGAGTGAGCGTGTTGGAGGAGGAGGCGAGCGAGTTGAGGGGGTTGGGGTCCGTGGTGGCGGAGTCGCTTTCCTGGGCGGCGGAAGAAGAGCGGCGCGACGACCCGGGTGAGATTGGGTCGTAGGGGGACGCGTTGACCACTTGGCGATGGTGGGGTTGAGGAGGGGGGACGTTCTGGTTGGATGTTTGAGAGAGGGAGGAGGACCGACGGGAATTTTGACCGCCGTCCGAACGCATCGAGCTGTAGTAGGAACTTAGCGTAGAATTGCCAGAGTCACGCCGAGTCGTGGCGTTAGATTGGTCGGGTGGGGACTTGAGGGTTGTTTGCTAAAGAAAAGGAATATTATATGGTTAGATAATTGTGCAGGGGGTGGTGAATATTATGACGAGTTAATTAGTAAATTTTAGTGGATACCATGTGAGGGTTTGGAAGACGCGGGTTGAGATCATTTCCTGGAGGTTTTGCGGCAAGAGAGGCTCCTCCAGACGGGTAGTTATTGTTGGAAGAGGGAGGCCCTTCCATTTTGAGATCTGTAATTCTGCGATTGAGATTTTCAATCCCCAAATTTCGACGAGGGCCTGAAAACAAGAGAAATAATCGATCTGATCAAGTACGACGCCAATAATCCTTTTCAAGTATAAAGTATGCATAAAAATTTATAATGGTAATCATGCAAATGTAATTGCTAATTATATTACTTTTCTGAATGTGTTTGTGCTTAACAAAGGACTCGATGACTTTTCTTCAAAATTGTCAAAATCAGCACATTTTGAATCATTTTTCGATTCTGGGAATTTATTTTTAAATTTAGTAATTTTATTAACGGGGCGTGATAGTTTGCTCTGGCCGCTCTATCAGCCAATACAGTCTCTCGCTCAATATTTCTCCGTATGTTTACAACATGCATAATTTTTTGCACAGATTTTTGAGCTTCTCAATCTTATACCGAGATTAAATGTGCACTCAAAAATGTGAAATTTGTTGAATTATAACTATTGATAGTTGGGCAACAAGGGAGCAGGCCCTTTAAGGAATTGATATGCTACTTTTATTTATATTAAATGCCGAATATCAATTTCCATCAAAATTTTGTTTCCTCTCGAGTTCGTCATTTAATATAAATAAAAGTAGCATATCAATTCCTTAAAGGGCCTGCTCCCTTGTTGCCCAACTATCAATAGTTATAATTCAACAAATTTCACATTTTTGAGTGCACATTTAATCTCGGTATAAGATTGAGAAGCTCAAAAAATTGCATTTTTTCCTGATTCGTCTCAATTTGTCATATGCGTAATTTGAGTATGCGTGGTGGGAAGCCACCACCACACATACTCTTCCCACTGGAAACCACTAAAAACATAAACAATGCCAGATGATATTTGCAGTTTTTTGCAAAAAATTCAAAATTCCCACCGAAACTTGTGAACTTTATACCCCACCGAGTTCGTCAGTTTCGCCACTATGTGATTTATGAGGATTAGAATAACATAAAATATTGTCAACTCTTAATAGAATGGTGGTGTTTTAAAAGCGAGTTTCGAAGAGTGCTAATTTTTCTGAAGATTTATTAAACTTAAGATCTCCAACTCCCAGAATGGAGAAATGATTAAAAATTTGGTGATTTTGACGATGAGTCATCTACGTTAAATAAGAGTTATCTTCATAACAATTGAAGCACTGACCATGAGTATCGATTGAGGACGGGATTGGGGCGGGCTGGAAGGCGAATCCCTTGGCTCCCATCCTCCCTCGAAATCGCCTCCCTCCGTAATATTCCTCCGGATGGTGTGACCCAGGTCCGCCGCCAGCACCGACGCCAATCCCCACGCCGCCGCCCACCCCGATCCCCAACATTTGTGGAATAACTTCCTCCTCCTCCTTGAGATCCCAGCAGGGTTGTTGAGCTTGTTGTGGTTGCTGGTGGTGGTGGTGGTGCGTCATCATCGGGGAGTTGTCGTAGACAGACCCCGTGTCACTCATTTCGTTCGTGGTGCTCACATTGTTGTCGCTGATCGGCTCTTCCATGGGCTCCACGCCATTAATTTCAGTACCCGAAGAATCACCACCCGGACTGCTTTGTTGGTGGGGAGAATTCGGATCCATCTAAAATAACGGAGTGTCATTAAGGCTCTACTTCATTTTCATCGAGTATTTAGTCTCATTCAACCCGTGCCCAATGTCTTTAAATGTAATTTCTAAAATGGCATCAACTTCATGAGTGTTGAGATAAATGGGACTTTTGATATTTTAATGTAAAGCTAATTTTTGGTACTACAAAACCTTGGTGGTTTGAAAAATTAGAAAATTCATTTACTATTTTTGCACACTAAATTTCTTCAAAAATTAATTTTCTAACTTTTCAAACCACCAAGGTTTTGTAGTACCAAAAATTAGCTTTACATTAAAATATCAAAAGTCCCATTTATCTCAACACTCATGAAGTTGATGCCATTTTAGAAATTACATTTAAAGACATTAACACGGGTTAAGTGAGATTGCGCGCGAACGCGTCATCCACAACAGTCTTAATGAGTAATAATTCCTCGATTTGAGAATATTTAGATGGGAATTATTGAAAATATGAACCTCTGATTTGATGGAGGGGCTTGAAATGGAGGTTGTTTTTGACCCCATGTCTTCACTTCTGGGGGACTCGGCACTCCCGTTGTGACCTCGCCCTCCTTTCCCGTTCCTCTCGTGGTCATGTCCACTCCCATGGTCGTTCCCCTTGTGCTTCTTGCTTGCATAGAAATCCGCCCCATGAACCGTTTTCACATGTTTTCTTAACGAGCTGGGATCCGTGTAGCGTTTCGTGCAGCCGGGTGCTTTGCAAACGTAGGGTTTCTGACAGAAAAACAGGTAAACATTTCAATCAAATTGTTATTTATTAAGTGAACAATTGAGAACTGGATTGTGTCAAACCTCATTTGAATGTGTTCGGTTTTGATGTTTCGCTCGGTCGGACGCGTTGCTGAATGCTTTCACACAACCTGGAAAATCAAAAATAAGTAAATATTTATGGAAGGGTTACGGATTTATTGAAATTTTTGAAAGCTTGAAATGAAAATTTTCTGGGGCAGTCATACGTACCTGGATATTCGCAAGTGTAGGGCTTTTCTCCGGTGTGTGATCTCAGGTGAGTTTTCAAATTCTCGAGTCTGGAGTAGGCTTTGAGACATCCTTCAAACTGAAATTGACCAAAAAATAATGGTATATTCATCAATTATTCGTTCTCATAATCATCATCATCATCGCCACCATTTTCCCGTCCCATAACGAATTTCAGCTCGCTCCACACACCTTGCCAAGAGTGGAGCATTATTTTATTGGATATGCATGCCCTAGTCTGGCTGGAGAATAAGGGCGCATTAATACCGGGAATGAAGCCATCTCTCATTTCTCAGACGAGGAGGGGAACCCTTTATTTAGTCCTGGGTTCAGGAGAGGAAAGCCATAAATCTAACGCCATGTGGTGCCTGCAGTTTGGTTTGTTAATGCGGCATTCCTCCCTCCACCAAATTTATCACGAGATGTTGAGGAGATTTTGAAACAAATTATTCAAATTTTGAAATATGCCCCGTCTCTCGTCTAATGATGCCTTAATTTGTTACGGATTATGGGCCAAGAAGAAGACGCATCAGACACGATCCTACACCCACTTTTTATACGTGTGCAACAGTGTTCTACTCTTTTACATAGAGACTTCCACGCAGGGTTTCGTTTTTTGAGGGTTTGTTGCATTTCTTGCAGAGCAACGGCAGAAATGCGAGGTGCAAAAAGCATAGCTGTTCAAGTGGATCCACAAAGTGGACTGTGGTGTGGAAAGTGGACACGATTTTTTTGTGGTTTGTGGAATTGTGGATTGTAGTTTGTGGAAAGGTTTGTGGATTGTGGATTTGTGGATTGTAGTTGGTGGAAAGGTTTGTGGATTGTGGATTTGTGGATTGTAGTTTGTGGAAAGGTTTGTGGATTGTGGATTTGTGGATTGTAGTTGGTGGAAAGGTTTGTGGTTTGTGGAATTGTGGATTGTAGTTGGTGGAAAGGTTTGTGGATTGTGGATTTGTGGATTGTAGTTGGTGGAAAGGTTTGTGGTTTGTGGAATTGTGGATTGTAGTTTGTGGAAAGGTTTGTGGATTGTGGATTTGTGGATTGTAGTTGGTGGAAAGGTTTGTGGATTGTGGATTTGTGGATTGTAGTTGGTGGAAAGGTTTGTGGATTGTGGATTGTGGTGAGATGAAATGAACAGCTATGGCAAAAAGTGCCAGAAATATGCACCGTCTTGCAACACGCCCGGTGGAGCGTAGTTTCTTGCGTCTTGGATTTCTTGCAGGGCAAAAGGTGCAACCAGCAAAAAAACTCTTTCTTGGAGTAATTTCTTGAAGTTACTTGCATCCGAAACCCTGCTTTCACAATTTTTCTCATGCAATGCCCAGTCCGACCCCGGTCGGGGCACAAAATGCCCGAGTGCGGTGGCAATAAATAAGACCGTGGAGGAAAACAACGTGCATGTAGAAGTTAAGTAAATGCCAATGAGTCGTGGCCCGTTTGGCTTCCCATTACCGTTTCTTCTTTAGCATGGTCATTAAACAAGGGACGACTTGGACTGATGACAGTCGCTGAAGAAGAAGAAGCTATTTTTATGCCATTTCCTCTCCATATTGACAACATGTTATTACCCTCTTAAACTTTACAAGTCAATTTATTAGCCAGGGATGACTTACTCCAAGTTTCAGCACAAAGTAGCAACAAATCCAGAGTACTCATCGCCCCATTTAATTCACCTCAATGATGTTCTTCTTGGCAGTTTGAGAGAGAAAAATTAAAGGGAAACATGTAAATTACAACGGGGCTCGAATACTTGGAAATATGTACTTGTGCGTAATCAGAAAGTATCATTCATTCATTGATACGAATTAAATGTGTACTCTCATTTTACAATAAAATAATAGCGGACTTTTGTATCTCGTTAAAGTCATCACCAAAATCAGCCCATTTTTAATGATTTGTCGCTCTAAAAATTTATTTTAAAATTCTGGACGACAAATTTGCGGTCAGTGAGTTGATAAATGGAATGGTGTTGAGTTTTTTGAGCTAGTTTCGACGAGTTCCAATTTTTCTGAAGGCTTCTTAACCTCCTCATTCAAAAACTTTCAAAATCTGGAGTGTACATTTAAAAAAATGACAAATCCCTGCTCTACAAATTTGTCGTCCAGAATTTTAAAATAAATTCCCAGAGCCGAGAACTGATTGAAAAAATGTGTTGATTTTGGCTATGAATCATCAAGTCCTACGTTAATAACGACTCGATAAAGAAATGAATCTTGTCTGCCTGCATGTTTGAATATTTGGTTGAATTGAATCCAATAATTTATGCAAATGCTTCGATGGACCACCCCACCCGAGCTCGCACTGATTATTTAATGTGGGATGCGATGCACACACGGAGGGAAATTGTGTGGTGGATTGGATGGAGCTATCAAATCAAAACAGCCCCAATTTATTTAAAGCAGCCTCGTCGTCTTCATTTGCACTTGAGCTCTTTATCCGCAAACTCATTAAATATGCATCCCATTTATTTAGCTCGACTCTGATACAAATTACGACGAGAAACCAGTTTCATTAAAATTAAGTGCCAAAAACCTACCCCGTGTTTGAGGGTCAACCTACACCACCACGACTCAATTTATCACCGCAACAATTTATTTACGAGCAGAATATTGTATTACAATTGCGATAAGGTGACAAGGAAGACGATGGCGACGACGAAAAAATTAAGAAATTTGTTTACATACCGTGCATCGATGTGGCTGCAAAAACAAAAGAAATGGAAAAAATTAGTAACCAAATGGACCTAAATAGGTGTTCGAAAGAATGGATTATATTTCGTACCTTTTCGCCCGTGTGTCGCCGCATGTGGACGACGAGCATGTACTGGGCCTTGAAGGGTTTCTCCTCCCTCGAGCAGTCCTTCCACCGACAAATGAAGACCTTCTTGTTCGCGTGGATATGATCCGTGTTAATGTGCTGAAATTGAGAAGAGGGCAGAAATTGTAGGCACAATTAGCGGGATAAAATGCACATATTTATTACTAGCATTTAAGCCCGTCTCCCGCCGGGCGAAAGTTTATTTGATTATCATGGAATTTGAGTGGGATTGTTCATAATTCCACATAATTAATTTTTTATGGTATTTACACATGTAATTAGCTGGAAATGTCTGTTTCGAGCCATTCGAAAGTTAACTTTCTCCACTTTCACTTCCGTTTCGGAAAATTACTTTCACTTCCGTTGCAGACAAAAATTTCCAGCTTATAATATAGATGAATTTCTACCGTGACAAGCTCTTCTTGTGTTCCAAACTCCATGCAACAGTTTGTCCAGTGACAGTTGGTCTCGTAGAAATCGCCCGGCTCGTCCTTGTCCCCTTCGCCGCGGTCGTCCCCATTTGTCCCGCTTGTCGTTGTCGCTGGTTCTCGTCGTACTTTGATCCTTCTCGTGTTCACCCGATGCTCGTCCACTTCCATCGTGGAACTCACGGCACCCACGCCAGGGGAGGATTTGGGACAGGATTCGCCCTGAAATATGGGCAGAAAGTGGTCAGGAGCATGTAAAATGTAGAGGTGGGGACAATAAATAGAGTATCTGGAGCTCGGTTCTTCCCAGGGTTTCGATTTAGGGAGGTGTTACAGTCACAAAAAGACGAAAATCTGCATGACGAAGGCAACAGTCTTGCGAAAATGCAGATTTTGTGAAGAAGTTAACTTTTTATCGCTGTCAAAATACTGAATTCTTTAAAAATCGTGGAAAAAATGGATTTTGACAGCGATAAAAAGTCAATTTCTTCACAAAATCTGTATTTTCGACTGACTGTTGCCTTCTCCACATAGATTTTCGAGCTTTTGTGGGTGTAACACCCCCCGAAATCCAGAATGGAGCTCAAAATACTGGCTTGTGACAAGTATGTATTTTGGTCATGGCAAGATTTTTATGCAGTGTTGAATTTTCACCTCTTGCTTAATGTTGAGGGAGTGCTGGAGACTTGGCATGTAGAGGCTTTGATGGGCAGAAAAGGGTGAGTTGTAGAGACCCGCGTGGTGCAGAAAGGGAGATCCCGGGAGCGACCCGGCTAAGGGTCCGCTGCGGAGGAGGTGGGCCTGGAGTTGCTGAAGTGGCGGCATCCCCCCACCAAACCCCCCGGATAAACCTGCCCCCATTCCCAAGGCTGGACTCATCGTTCCTGAAAATATTCCTACTCTTTAATTTACTGATAAAATGTTCACATTATCACAAAAATCAGTATCATTTGGCATTGTCATCTTCATGCCAAGAACAGACTCACGATTAATCAAGATCTCCCAGCGTATGCTCTCCGATTTTAAATAAATTAGTGTCAATCGATGACAAATTTGATTAGTATCAAATTTGCGAAAAACACGATCTCCCAATGGGCACGTTTTGCGGAGATATTTGTATCCGAAGAGGAGAAAACGCGCAGTAAATTAGGAAAATTTTACACTTTCCAAACCTACTGCGCATTTTCTCCTCTTGGGATGCAAATATCTCTGCCAAACGTGCCCATTGATACATATATCGCGTCGTTTGCAAATTTCATATTAATCCAATTGACACTAATTTCGTCAAAATCAAACAACATACGCTGAGAGACCTCCATTCTCAGGTTTAAATTCTTTAACCTTTTCTTCATAGTTTTTTTTACAAAATACTTATTCGTCAAGTGGACTAGCAGTGAGGAGGAGGAGAATAAAATCGTTGTGTAGCTGGTGGACGTGGGGAGAGGAAGAGGAATCTCTTATTATTGCTTGAAAGCCAAAAGTTATCATTATCATTAAGATCATTACAGCACCGTTTCCCATTTCCATTCAACAAGTTAATTCAAGGATCTCATGTCGCCGTCGTGCTGCAGCAGCGGCTACTGTTTGATCCAACAATGTCTCTCTCTCTCTAAACCACAAGAAGAGGACTGAAATGTATAACATCATCGCCCGAATGACTTTCAGTTTTTGGAAACAGACAATAAAGAAAACAGCTCGGCGAGAAGAATAATTCTTTAAAATCATGTTTGTCTGTGGAAAAATGCCTGAATTTATGTCTAAAAACCCATTCGAAAGAGTGAGTGACGATTATAATGAAATGAAATTAAATCTCACTCAGCAGCGCAAATTAAAATGTGTTTGTTGCGAAATGTGAACAGGTTGTGAATTGTATTATCACACCATATTAAACTTTCTTAATGTTTTAATTCCACATTTTTATTGCCCATCAAACTCACTGATGATAGGAATCACTCCAATTACAACTCGTTACAAGACTAGATTACATTCGTAGGAAATTTATTGCCCGTAAAATTCGTAGCCAACAAGTGTCGATAATTCTGATATGAGAAATTATATTATGCGAATTAAAATGAAACACTTATTTTATGTGTTTGGACATTGTACGTTAAGAGAGGGCGGATGTGTATTTAGGAAAAAGCGCTGAATCCGTACGCTGAAATGTGCATGTGTTTAATATTTATGGAGCAAAGGTAAAAATATTTACGAGATATGTATGAAAACATAAAAATTTGAATTTTAACAAAATTTTAATTCCTGAATGTAATGATCTGTGTTTTTTTGTGGTTAAATTTCTTTGAGTATAAAATTTGTCTCGTATCGTTGAAATATCTTTAAAATATACGTCCTTTTTAAAAATATCTAACAAAATTTTGTATTTTTGAAATAACAGTGAAAATATTTACATGTCTGAAAACCTAGAACGATATACATGTGCCAATATGTAAAAAAAAAATTTGAAATTTTTGTGATCTAGGGAACACACCGGAAAATTTGCAAATAAATACATATCCGCCCTCTGCTCATCAAGTACGGTGGTGTGGAGTAAAAAGGAGCAATTTCCTGTGTCCAGCAGCATAATGGGTAAACGTAGGAACGTGATATATCCGATCTCATCTCGATCAAAACCTTCCATGCACAACGAACGAAGGATGCTTCTTCTTTTCTCCTCCGCTAAAACCGAGCAGCTTGGATTAAACACATGACGATCGTTTTTTTTGACGCGTCGGTCGATGCTAAAAAAAGGCGAGTTTATGCAGCTGGGAAACGAATCTCCTTAAGCTAAACAACGAGTCTCTCTCTCCTAATAAATTGGAATCATTCCACGTTTTTCTTCTTCTTTTTGGTGGTGAAATATGCAGAACTGATTGACCAGCCATCCAATAAGCGAGCAAGAAGGGCAGGCTTCAGAAAAAAGTGAGTGAGCAGGATGATGGAAATTAATCCATTCCGTGTGCATTGAAGACGACGACGACGTGCATGAATCTTGATGTGTCGACAAGAAAGAAATTAATAACGATCCAATTTGAGCAAACTGTTATGCGTACGTATGCACCAGTGTTTCTCCTGTTAAAAACACCTGCACGAAATTAGTGCACAAAAATGCGTTTAAACGAGTAATAACACCCACCAAAATCTGCAAAAGTGCAGGAAAATGCATTAAAGTGCAAATAAATATTTTAATATTGTAAATTTTTGTAGATATTTGAATAATTAAGAAATTAAGAAAAAAGTGCTGTTATAAGGTTTCCAATCAGTTTAGAAGTTTAGATAACCGGATGTTACCTTTGAGATACCAAAAATTTATAATTTCTGGAAACTATGAAATTCCAACTGCATTTCATTCACTTTTATGGATTTTTATTTATTTTATGCATTTATGTAATGCACTTTTATGCACCACATATACACTAATATTGTGCCCTCAAAACGAAACACTGGCATGTTCATACAATAATGTCCGCTACTGCAGGCCAGGCTACTTATTTATGTGGAGCCCATATGCAGATGTATGCAAGTCCGTACTCCTTCCAAATAATGGATTCACGGTCATTTCAAAGTTTTTAATCCGAGAATGAATACTTGTCTCATCATCGGACCGTGTTAATTTGTAAAGAGGGACCGATGACTTTTTAATCCTTTGATGAAACCGTGGACTAACAACGACGGAAAATTAGCCGTCATCACACCCAACACCTAATCTCTTCCTCCATTTACATATGTATGCGTCCATTGCGGACGGGGAGAAAATTAACACTCGCTTTGAAAAGAATGGGAGGCAGGCAGGCATTCACACAGAAACAGGAGCAGAGTCCAATTTTCCGACTCTTTTCTTCTCCGGACAAGATTACGGAACTTGTGGCAATGTCCCGCAATAATAAATTATGGGATCAGATCAAGCAGACAATAAAATAAAACATAATAGAAAGTTACACTCAAAATAAGGTAGTAATGTAATGAATCATTACCATGCGGAATGACTATGTGGCTCTACCACGTCGGTTACGATTTGTCGTAGAAATGGTAATAATAAGTTCAGGGAAATTCAAATTTAATACATAATGGTATTAACTTCCTTAATATTTGGTAATGAATTTGAATTTCCCTGAACTTATTATTACCATTTCTACGACAAATCGTAACCGACGTGGTAGAGCCACATAGTCATTCCGCATGGTAATGATTCATTACTACCTTATTTCGAGTGTAGAAATCTAAGGCGGTGTATGGATTATATTTACCGGCGGAGAGATGACCGTACGACCCGCTGGCGGCAGAAGACCCTCTGGACCCATTGACTAAGGACACCAAGGAAGGCGAGAACCGGATCATGGAGTTGATGTCGAAAGAATCCGAGTACGGCGAGCATGAAAGCGCTGAAAGAGATAAAGTTTCGTCAAATATGTATCATCCATATTTTTCATGTGGTTTACAATATTCTAACAATTGAAGTCTCCCAGCGTATGCTGATAAAATTTGATCAAATCAGTGTCAATCGATGAGAAATTTAATTAATATGGAATTTGGCAACGACATGATCTCCCAACGGCCACGTTTGGCCGAGATATTTTCATCTGAAGAGGAGAAAATATTCGCAGTGTGGTTTGCAAATTTTATACTAATTAAATTTGATACTAGTCTGGTCAAAATCTGAAAGCAGATGTTTGGAGACCTTCAAGGTTTTTGATGGCTTATTTTTCGGACATATTTTTAGTGTGAAGTCACTTACCACGCTTCCTGTTGGCACGGGCGTTGAGACTGGCGCGGGGGCTGGCAAATCGGGCGTCTGTAAAAAATAAAGGAGGAAATAAATAAATACGGCAACCTTGATAATTTATTAAGCCCGTTAACAAAAGGTAATCGGATCGACCATCTCCCTCAATTTGTCGTTCGCCTCGTCACCAAATTTTATTTTATTGCTGGATTATGCTAATTTAAGACAAACAAGGCATTGTCAACCCTAATAATCTGTGTTGAATTGAAATCCAGTTTTGAGCTGGGTTCAATATCTAAACTGAACTGAACAGAATGCTCGTGGGTCGGTATTTAGCAACGAATGAGTAAATGCTGTGCTGGTAGTGGGTTGATAGATGGGCATTTGTTTGAATAGGAAAAAAATCATATCGTGGCCGATGGTGCCAAACGTAAGGAGTTGGCCGTTGGACGGTCCGAGCTACGTCCAATAAATCTCACCTTCTTGTCAACAAATTCACACGTTGAAATTCGACTCGCGCAATTAAATGGGATTATTATTTAACCAACCCAACTATTAACCGTGGGCAAGCAAATGCATAGACGCTGAGCGGTAGATATCTTGCAGACGTTAATATGTATGGTCCAATTACGCAATTGTGTAATGTGTGCCTTGAGCAGATGTGTACAACGAGATATTTATATCTTTGGGTGCACATTTGCATTTATGTGAGCTATGATTTTTAATAATTTTGGCACGGTTTCTAACTAATCGATAAAGAAACAAGGGTGTTTTTTTTCTTTTGGGAAAGTACATGGGTACACTCGAAATAAGGTAGTAATGAATCATTACCATGCGGAATGACTATGTGTCTCTACCACATCGGTTACGATTTGTCGCGGAAATGGTAATAATAAGTTCAGGGAAATTCAAGTTGATTACCAGAAATTAAGGAAGTGAATACCATTATGTATTAAATTTGAATTTCCCTGAAATTATTGTTACCATTTCTGCGACAAATCGTAACCGACGTGGTAGAGCCACATAGTCATTCCGCATGGTAATGATTCATTACCACCTTATTTTGAGTGTATGAAAACTTTGAAGATATCGAAGTAATACTTACTGTCGAAGGCGAAAGCGAGCTCTGCGGAGGAGAGCGTGCTGGCTGCGGGGTGAAGATCGTTCAAACTTCTGGGGCAAAAACCAGCCGAGGCAGCGACACTCATGTAATCCGGGGGCATTCCCAACCCCGTCGTCGAGCCTGAAACCAAAACAACAATTTATCAATCACCGTTTTTTTTCACAAGAGGAATTTCGGATGACACCCGGGCAAAAAAGGTAACAAATTGCGCCCAATAAATAAGCTCGGCTTATCGTGTGAGTAAGGTGCCGTCGTCACCTTATCAGTGAGAAATTAACACCGCTGATATTAAAGGCTTAAATTCCTGAGTAATAAGGTATAAAAAGGGTAAAAGTTTAAGCTACGGGAACGGTGAGCTCATTACTTAATCATTTTACTTACAAGGGGTGTGCCAGGTTTGTTCCGTGCAGCTTTTTGCAAAATAAATATGCAACATGTCTACTAAATGTGAAAAACTTCTAGTTCAAAACTTGGACCAGTACGCAAAAACCGCAGATTCTGTTAACTTAAAATTTGAAAAAAAACACTATTTTCCACAAAGTCAGTTTTGGGGACTGAAAATCCATCGATTCCGCAGTGGAAAATGGAGCACATTTTTATTCTAAACTTTACAAAATGCTGGTTTTTGCGAATGTGTAGAATTACGTTGCAAAAAAAGACTGCAAGGAACAAGACTTACAGACCCGTGTGAATTTTAGTTTTGATTTGTAATTCTATGACTAGTGAAAGTATTTGCATTTTTATTCGGGTTTACTTTCTGATAATGGCGATGACAATCACGACATGACACTCATCCGACCAGATACATATTTCCTGATAAAAAGTGCGGCTTATTCCCTCTCCAAGTAATTTGACACTTTTGTCATCTCCATGATCTGATAAAACCTCAACGGTTCGGATGCACAGATAAATTTAAAATTTGTTTCGAACGAAGGGGACGAAAAATGGCAGAGTGCGTGCCTCCAAGGCTCCCCTCTGGATTCAAGAGCTAAATTACTGCCAGGTTCAAAGGGCCAGAAAAAAAGCCAACGTCTACTTGTTAGATGGTCAATTATCTATCTGCTTATCTAGTGCACACGATTATCTCGCATCCCGATCATCCAACATTCATTCCAACACCGGGACGACCGCAGTTTGGCATTTCATGTCCATCCGATTATTTGGAGGCTTGCACACTAATGATGTAATAATGATAATGATACCCTTCGCCCCAGCTAATCCCTTGCCACTCGTTGGCTCCCTTCAGTTTCCGCCAGAGTTATGCACTTATCTATCAAGTCCCATTTCCCCTCATTTTTAGCATGCCAGTTCAGAAGCAATCTTTACTTTGGAGTTAAAATATTTATTTCTCCGTGTTTTGCTGGAACCATTATGAAAAAGGTGGCACTAATAAAATGAAAATATGATGGCTCCAGTGTTGCGGTAACCACTTGGAAGAAAGTGTTTTTTTGCAACTAGTTTGCCCTACAAGAAATGCAAGGCGCGCAAGAAACTCCGCACCGCCGCTAAAATTCATTCAGCGCCTTGCGAAATGACGAATATTTCTTGCAGTTTCTTGCACCTCACATTTTGTGCGTTGCTTGTTTTGCAATGCAACATAGCAAACCCGTAATAAAAACAACATAAATCGATACTTTGGTTGATCAATTATATTAAAACAATGAGACGTTTCTCATTCAGCACATCGTATTTATGACGATAGGACAACTTCGAGTTCTCCTGGGACGAGTATCTCTGCATAAAATCGACGACAAGAGAGTCCTGATGACCCATGCGAACACGTTTGCCCACGGAAGAGGCCACATTCATCATTCACTTGTTAAAAATTGTCATCATATGCCACACGTCCCGTCCGTCGTAACCAGCGTGCATGCATTATTACAGACTTTCCACTGCAGCCCGAGAGGTTATCAAGGACTCCATCTCGGCTGGGCACACGGGTCCTCCTCCTGATAAATTAGAATGCTCTGGGTGCACTGAGCATTGTTTAACCAGCGCAACAACCCTTGTGCCCATTCTCAAAATGCATCATCAACAGCAGCTATTTATTTAGGTAGGAGACCATTTCATGAATGGGCCACCTCCTCCACAAATTATTAGTCTTAAAAATATGTACATGTGTTGAATGAAACTTGTGCCAAAATCTCGAAATAGCGATGCCATTTAGGAGCACAAGGTCCAACGAAGCCTCGCAAATTCCCATCATTTCTTCTCCTCCGCAGACAAAGGGGCCGTTTAACGTGTCAAACGAAGCAATTCTCTCCTCCTCGTACTTAGCAGCACATGATGAGCACTTTGATTAAATGGTTTACATAACATAATGAGTATAGCGCACCTCACACACAAAAGGATAAAATCATCATGAAATGAAATCTATCTCATGCCGAAGCCTCATTATCCTAATAGTATTAGGATAATCGCTCCTGCTCCTGCTGCTGCTGGTGGTAGCAGCTTCTTCAGATTAGAATTCCTATACTGTTCGACAGAGCTGGGCAAAATAGTGCGTCGAAATGAAGTGTTTTGCGTTTTTCGCAGGGTTTGGATTTTGAGGGTTGCTGCACTCACAAAAACACGAAAATCAACGTGGAGAAGGCAAAAATGGTGCGAAAATGCAGATTTTGTGAGGAAATTAACTTTTTATCCCTGTCGAAATAAGGTGTTTTTAAAAAATTGTGAAAACAATGTATTTTGGCACGGAAAAACCGTGTATTTTCCTGACTGTTGCCTTTTCCATGTAGATTGACGTCTTTTCGTGGACCCTGGAAATCCAAACTCTAGGAAAATACTGCGTCAAAATACCGTATTTTGAGTTAATATTTAGGCCAGCCCTGGCATTGGGACATGAAGAAGAAGAAAGAATGGGTGTGTGGTTGGAGTGAAATGACACGAAAATGAATTCCCTTTCTCAGTCAGTTTAAACACGCACACCAAGCTCTTTAGCTTCATCGTCGGAGGAGGACAAGAAACTTTTCATTCAAATTTTGCTGGGTCGAGGAAAAAAATATTATGTATTATTATGCATCGGAATTACTACTTGTGTATCGTGAACCTTCACCCGCAGCCTTCTGTCGCGCATATTACTATTACTTACGTCCCATTTAATCCTTCGCACATATGTCTCGTTTATCAATCTTCCTCTTTTCCACTAACTAAATATTCAAATTCGATCCTACCAATGAGTTTGCCATGAATTCAGTACAACTAGTCACAAACTTGTGCAAAATTGAAATTTTTATTAAGAGTTCCAGGTAAATTTAGGGTATAGATTCCAACAAAAAAAATTCCAACAAAAAAAATTGAAAAATCAACATGTCTACGGCTCATTTACGGTCCATTAATAGTTTGGTTTCAAAATTAAAAAGTTAAAATGCTTGTATTTATTTTAAACCATTTAATCGCAAATTAATTTGGGAATGCTAAAAAAATCAATTTTGCACAAGTTGGTGCCTGCGGTTATAGTGAATTTAAGGCTAACTCATCTTCAACTCATGTAGAACTCATCTGCCTTCACCACTCATTCTAAATATTTTAGGCGTAATAAGTCTAAGGAAATCCTTGATGCAATGATAATGATCCTTCATTCAATTTGCGAGGAGAGAAAGAGTATGTAGCCATGTGTAGAATGTGGTGGAATTATTGAGATCTGGATGCCATAAAAGTCAGGAGCAGCGTGTCGTCTCTGTTTTGCAGCTTCCGTTGTGCGACAGTGACATTCACTTCATCCTGACCGAGGTTGCTTGTCACATAAAATGGGTGAACAAAGAAGTGATTATTTTTAAACTTTTTTTCCTCCTCTTCTTCTTGGCTAAACTAACAAGGCGACGGGACGATGAGGAATAAATGTCAGGCTGGCAAAGCAAAGTCTTCCTCTGCTTTTTAATAAATGGCGTGGCGTGGTGGCGTGGCACATGTGATAATTTCAAGTGACATCACCTCACTTTCATGAAAAAAGTACCAAAATCATTGTCAGTGGCTGCGGAAGCCGTGGGGACGTTTTGGGATAGTAAAATTGTAGGGCGGGGTTTACATAAGGTGGGGAGATGATGTGGAAATTGTCCCCACACTTCCGCGGTCACTGATTATAGTCGTGGTATTTTCTAAGCTCGCAATATGCATCAAATTGTGCTCAAATTCTTCAAATTCCGTCGAAAAAAATGCAAGATTCTCTCGAATCGAGTTCCAGATGAGGGTTTAATTGGTGCTCTGGATAAAAAAAAGAGATCAATTCTTGGCGTATCGCACTTGATAAGGAAAAATTTAAAATATTTTTGTGATGCTGCTGTTAAATAAATCCGTGTGAGAAAAAAGCGTGGAGCGAGCGATTTGCGGTATTTTTTCTCATTTGTCACCTGTCTTGCCTGCGCATTTGGGAGGAAGGCCGGATAATCTATGGTTGTTCGCGTCTCTTCTTCTTGTTCTTATCGGGAATGAGGTGACACCTCTTTTTTGCCCTTCAACAAGATCTGTGGGATGGGAGTACATGTGTAAATTGTGGATATTTTTCCTCCTCTAGGTATTATGGAGGGATGCGTGTGATGACGGGGTTGTTGGCGTTTGATGAGACAAAAACATAAATAAACGATGAATGGGAAGGCGTATGAAGATAAACAGTTGGCGTATGTACGGGCAGACATTTGTAAAACAAATCTCGTCCGCTATTGAGATTAACCCTTCACCCGAAAGAGAGAGAGGAGAAAACAAGCCACCCGGTCCCGGGAGAAACAGATTCGTATTATTTCCCCTGGCGTCAGATAACCAACATGTGCTCGGAAAAAAAGCTTTGATCTCTGCCCGACTAAAGACTATTATATCCCGTGATGAGCATGATGATTATGTGTGCAACGTATCAACGTTACAGGGTTTCGCTACTGTCCAAAACTGGTTCTAGACATCGAATTTTGGACGTCCAAAACGTTAAAAAAAGTGTCCAAAATTGAAAGTGGGGAAAAATTTGGCAATTTTTTATTATTGAATTTTTCGATAACCCGTTGACGTGTACATATGCAATCTCCCATTAATTTTGAGCATTTTGATGTATAATACGACATCGTTTATAAAATTTCTTAATTCCTCATAAGAAAATATGTTAAAACAAAGGCTTCTCTAAATTTCGTGGTACATATCTATCACACCAAAATGCTCATAATTAATGGGAGATTGCATAATTATCTGTGCATAGATTTGCAAAACATCGTTAGTAAAGATCTTATAAAAAATTATGCTCCGTTTTCCAGTGTTGGACGTGTTTGAAGTCAACTTCAAAAATAGTTTTGGACGTCTAAAACGAAACACTGCAACTTTACCTTGCTTTTTAAGGGCGTGAAATGCATCCATTGAGATGGGAGGAAATTATCCGCTCTGGCAGTCTGTAAAGAAGAAGGATGCGTGCTTTCTCCTAATTTCGAGTGCTTAAACGTCCTGTCAAACGGGACTGGGCACAGCTTACGTGCGTAGCTGCTCAACCTTCTCGTGGCACTTGACGTTGACAATAAAAATGCCGAGATGCGATCTGGTAAAGTTGTCAACCCGATGTGACGACCAGCAACAAATTGATCATTACACACGCATTGAGGACCCAAATCTGAATAAAATGCTCATTTAGATAAGAAACGCATCCCTGATTGAGCAAAGTAAGTGGGTGATGTGTCAGCCAGCCAGGTAGGGTCCCGTTTTGTGCAGGGAGGGAGGACCACACCCTTCGAAATAAATTGGATTGACCGGTGAAACCCGGTCCCATTAAAATTAGAGAAGGTGAACATTTTGGGCCATTAATAGCGCGACAATCGCATCCGTCAAGTGGACAACCTTTAACCTTCTGCATCTTATTTAAGTTGGTGGACTGGACTGTAAGTCGAATGATATTTGAATACTTGAAATTGGAAAAATTCCAGAAGGCTTTAGCCCGAGTCAGGTGGTTACTAATGATTAAGCCTTGAGGTGGGTATAATAAATATGATTGCTACTAGTTTTTATTTTTCGACAGATTTTGCTGATTTTGGAACTTACATAACTCCTAATTTTGCATGTTCTACGTGTGTGCAAAAATTTCAAGTGGATTTGATAAGTTTTATGTAAGTTTTAAATGACAGGCATAGACAGACATCCAGTCAGGTAAGCCCTGACTCGAGCTAAACATGTATTTATTCTACTTATGCATGCACGAAAATATGCGAATCGAGATACTTTTTGCACAACTATCTATATAGAGTACAAATTTAGCATTATTTAGCCTAATACATTTGATACAAATAATTAATGAAATGGGAGCTACTTTAGCAAATGTGAACTTTACTGCTCACGACGGATGGCTGCACGAAAGGTTGAAATAGTTTTGCGAGGTGTTTCTGTCCTTGCTTCCACCTAGCAATCATCCACTGATAAACTTGGACTCGTTCACGACACAGAAAAAGAGGTGAACATGCGATGGATTCCATTATTGTAAAAATATCTAGTCGCGTAATTTATTTATGTATTATTCTTCTCCGCTTTCATAACGGAGCCATTTTTGTTGTGCTGGATGGATGGGATAGAAAGAAATGCTCATGAAAAAGGTGGGCCTTGGAATTTAGGGGATCAATATTTTACGTGGGTTTGTTCTATCTACTTAGCATAAAATGTTCTAAATTGCCACAATAGAGATCTCCAAGGGGATGCTCTCAGATTTTGAGCTAATTTTATGCGTGTGCTCTCCGATTTTGGGCAAATTTGTATCAAATCACAAATTTAATTCGTATGAAATTTGCAAAAGACGCCATCTCCTAATGGGCACGTTTGGCAGAGAGATTTGCATTTGCATTCGAAGAGAGAAAAGAACACGCCTTAAAGTTGACAAATTTTACACTTTCCAAATTTATTACTAACTCAAAGTTACTAATTTAATTTAGGATTGACACTAATTGCTCAAAATCGAATCGCATACGCTTAATTCTAAGATAAGAACCAATTTGCGAAATTAGCTAATAAGAAATTGCACGTACCTCTGGAGTCGGACGGACTGAGCCTGAAGGAGGAAGTGGGGCTGGTGTGGAGGCCGTAGAGGGGGTCCATGTATGGCGTGAGGCGTGAGTAGGCGGCTGCAGCAGCGGCATGGAGTTCCGCTGCCGACCCCGTCACTCCTGGCGTTGGCGTCCCCCCCAAAATCCCGCTCGGGATCCCACCCCCCTCACCCCCACTCCGACGACCCGCCAACAACGACAGCTCCGACAAGGACGGTCCACTCCCACTCACGGAAAGCCTGCAATTCAATTAGATACAAATTCAGTCACCAATTCATTTCAGGATGAAATTGCTTTATTAACAAATTTATGATGAGATGCGACAATCGAGAGAGCAGATTGAGGGTTAGATTAGGAAGGACGTAAAAATGGTCCGGAATTTGATCCCAAGACAGAAAACCAGTTAGCTGCGCGCTTACATATGTAAGTATGCGATTCAACGAATATGAATGTGGACATGTGCATCTGCATCGAGCGATTTAAAGGTTGAGGCTACTAAAAAAATGGATGGATGGATGAAGGCATGATTGATTGACGTTCCAATACAATGGTTACGACGAAGAGATTGATACAGTTTATGTGGTGGCATTGTTATTCAAATATTTCACATATTTAAGATCTTCTCAAATATTCCTGTCGTAAGAAGGCAAGTGCATGTCCACGTAAGTACACAAGCATGCTGGACGAGGTGTGCGTAGTTGCAATCAGGGTATTCCGACCTGGGTTTTAATGGGTTGGGTTTTATTGGGTTTTAATGGGTTTTAATGGGTTGTAAATGAATAAAACCCAGTGGGTTTTACCATGTTAAGTGGGTTTTATTTGGGTTTTAATGGGTTTTATTGGGTTTTATTGGGTTTTAATTGAGTTTTACTTAAAAACTACATTCTAAAAGTTAAATACATCTCCTATACGTTAGAAGACGTTATCTCAATTCATTCTAAAGCAGTTTATTTCATTACTATTCTAATATATGAAAATTCGGAACAATTCAATAATTGACTCCATCCTTTAGCATCACAGATTTCAAGTGTTATAAAACAAAATAATTTCCGAATAGATACAAATTCCTAATTATTTTTGTTAAGTTATTACTTAAAACTAATAAAACCCTATAAAACCCATTTAAACCCAATAAAACCCATTAAAACCCATGGGTTTTATAATTTTTGATTAAAACCCTGGGTTTTTCCGAACCCTGGTTGCAATCATACTTATATATGTACATATGAGCAATTTTTTAAAAACCCAGAGTAGAGCCTTCTTTAGCCCGAGTCAGGTTATTAGTAACAACTTGTTACTAATAATCGACTTTTCTATTTTTCCACACATTATCCTCATCTCCCAACTTGCCTCCTAATTTTGCATGTTCTGCCAGTTCTGCACGTGCGTGCAAAATTTCAAGAGAATTTAATAAGTTTTACGAGCGTAGTCGATAGACCTACAGACAGACCGACAAGATGTGTACATAAGTCCTGACTTGGGGTAAAAAAGCGTTGATTACAAATTGTTTGATTTTCCATCTCAAAATGGTCGTTTTAGTTTTTTTTAACATTTTGTGGAAGTACCTGTTCATTCTAATAACCTCATTTTACGCCCGTTTTCTGAGCACTAACGATGGCAAGGAATTTGAAAATTGGGGAGGCACTTTAACGATCTTTTTCCCTTTCAAGTGCTCGTTTTGTAAAGTTGAACACCTCGAAAAGCGCTTAAAACATGGTAATCACAGCTCCAAGAACACTTGATGTCAAAGTCTTATTTTATTGCTGGTTGGGTTGCATGATTCTCGACTTGTTCCGACTTTCCTTCCTACTTTTTCTCTGGAGAAGCCCAAAAAATCTAAATCAACATTGCAGCATCCCACATTAAAATTCCAAGCGTGGGGGAATTATTGTCTTGCATGAAGAGACTGACAAACCAGACGAAACATCTTAATTACCTCAAAACCACCACCAAATCACGACCATGGACCCTACGACTCGGCTCCTTTCTCATAATAGAGGTCTCCCAGCGTATGCTCTCCGATTTTGAGAAAATTAGTGTGAACCGATAAATAATTCAATTAGTATGAAATTTGTAAAAGACACGACCTCCCAATAGGCATTTTTGGCAGATATATTTGCATCCCAAGAGGAGAAAACGCAGAGTAAATTTGGAAAGTGCACATTTTTTCAACTTATCTCCTCCTTCATTTCGTTACATAATTCGTGAACGCTTGAATTGTTTTTGTTTAACGCCGTTTAAATGATTTTTAGGTAGATTGATAATAGTTTACAAGTTAGATGGATGGCTGCGAAGTGCCAATGTATAATTTTGGTATACTGGGTGAAAGAATTTGGTCAAAAAATTCAGGGTATTTTTATAAAAGTAGTCCCTTCCTCATTAAATTTTTAATCCGTCTGTGTCCGAATTCAGAAACAAAGTAAAATTTTTGCAAAATTGGAAAGCATCCGCTGGGAGACCTCCTTGCTCTCAGCGTAAATACACACCACCGACATGCTGATAACCTCTTAAGCATTCCCCTTTTAAACCCACGATGATAACGACTCTCTCTCTCTCCCAGAGTTTTATTTTGTGTGTGTGTTATTTAATTTGGTATGTAATAATGTCGGCTGATTTATAGCCTCACACATAAAATCAACAGCCAGTCACCTCTCGCATCGGAGGAGAAGATAGATAAACTCTGGTGTAGCCCACAACCTGCAATCATCAAACATCAACATCACATTTATGTAGCTGGAGAAGCGAAACCCGTCGTCTCGCTCACCTCACCCCCGGAGGACGGTGAACAAAGGGATGAGAATAACATGGTCGTGAGGTTGGAGGAGAGCTGAACAAAGGCTGCTCCGGACAAAAGAGCTGGGATGAGATGGAGAAAATAGAGACATTAAAATTTACTGCGACCCACAAAAAATGAAGAACAATTCTCGACCAACAACTACCTGTTGCGTCGTCTCTTCCTTCCTATTAAGCAGCCATCCAGACCTGGATTTCTCTCGGCCCTATTCATCCGTAATACTTACATAGTTTTACCAGGGCTGTGCAAACACCTCGTCGACTTGACTTTCGTTAGTAACGAGTCGGATATGATGAGTGTAATGAGCAGAGGGCGGATATGTATTTATTAATAACTTTTTCATTTTATGACGACGGACGACTCGAGTAGATTGTAAAAATTTCAAAATATTTTTACATATTGGGATTTTCGGACATATATATAAATATTTCTGGGATTATTTTGAAAATACGGAAATCGTATAGATATTTTTCCCAAAAGACGTAAATGTTTTGTAAATATTTCAACCATGTGAGACGAAATTGTTTTGTTTGCAGAAATAATTAAATAATAAAATTGTTAGGAGAATTCTTATTTTTATGTTTTATCGGGCATATTTTGTAAATGTTTTGGTATTTTATTATGCATATTAATTGCATATTTCATCGATTTTTCGTAACTACATATCCGCCCTCTGAAAACTAAGCAGATACAAGGAACGAGTGTAATCACGGAATCTCAATCTCAAAACCGACCCAAGAAGAAGAAGAAGATCATCTCTCTCCAAGAGTGTTTTTATCCAACCCTTTCTCACGCTGGGCTCGTCCTACATTAACGAAAGGACGGAATATCTGCTGAGCTGAGATGAAGCAAGATCATCATTCTCGACTGGATGCGACTTAACCGAGTCAGCATCAATCTTAATCCTCTCTCCTTGGAACAAGGGAAGGAGAGATTCTGGCCGAAAATCTCTCCGTATTTATTCCTCGGTATAAAAAATGGAGCTATTTGTTTAAGGATTTCTTCCTCAGAGAGATAATTACTTAATCACGAGTGATAATCATCATAAATAAAAAAGGATACACAACAATTTTCAAAGAAATGCAAAGCTCGTGTTTTGTATTTGTGTAAAGGGCGGAATGGAAATAAATAAATAAATAAAAAATTGGTTAAAAAGACGGAAACCATGTCTCATTACTGTTGCCCACAGTGGAACATGGCAAATCTCCACTTTTACGTACCTATTCCTCCAGTTTTTCCTTAACTCTCTGTCCATGAAAAAAAACGAGTTGGGTTGTGAAACGCAAGAAATTTCAATGGCTAGAATTTTGTGGATGTCGCAAGTTAAAATGCGTCTCTTAAATCTAACTCATGTACACTTTCAGACAGAAAAGTGGCCTACAACTGGATTGCTGCTGGAGTTTTAGCTTTTTTAAATGTAAGATTTCTAAAAACCAGAGGAGAGAACTTGTCTGTAAATAAATTTCGAAATGCGATAATTTTATGATTCTCTAAATCGCATTTTACATAATGAAGATGAATCTCGTTATTATCTGGGATTGGCGACAAGGACAAGATCACCAGCCACGGAAACTTATCTCTGATTGGCATTACATTAGTCGTATCGTTACAATCTTGACCCTTGATTGAAGCATGTATCGAATCAGGCAAACAATTTATCCAGAAGTAGCCGTGTAAGATAAGTATAGCGATTTTCCTTTATCATGCTGGACTAAAAAAGCGAGGAGAAGAATTTGGAATTCCACATTTTTATCAAACATGAAATGAGCTGTCTTCTTCTTGGTCGGATAGGGAATGAAAATTGAATATCTTTATCTCGCTGGCTCTCCTGCAGGATTCCAGCATCTCATTTGGAAAACAAAGTCGACTTTTTCCCAGCGAGGCCGGAGGGGGCTGTCAAAAGTCTAAATAATAATATCATGTATGAATGCATTATTATTATAATGATGACCAAGCAGGGTCCCTCTGAGGAACATTCCAAAGTCCTCCTCCCGCAGCTAAGCAACTCAAAAATCTCTTCATTTCCTCCTCAACACACGATTGATTCTTCTCCTTAAACTTATATATGCAGCTATTTGCATGACACATGTATAAGTATGTAACATCAATTAAACGGCCCAAATTAAGAAACGTCAAGAGTAAATGGTCTTTCACAAATCAAAATGTGAACTAATATGCATGCACAATTTAGAAAAGTAGTAATTCCAAACACGCAGCAAGTGTTTCTGACTTGACCGAGTTTCAATATTATTTATATGTATTATAATTATGTTTTCCTGCCATTTACACATTCCCGATTGAAGGAACGACCTGGAGTAAAATGTTGAGCTGAGAAATCACATAGTTTTATTAGTGAGTTGCATGTAGCTCTAAATATCTAACAATGGAGGTCTCCCAACGTATGCTCATAGATTTGGACCAAACTAGTGTCAATCGATCACACATATAATTAGTATCAAATTTGCAAATGGAACCATCTGCCAGTGCGCAGGTTTGGCGGAGATATTTGCATCCAAAGCGGGAAAAATGCCCAGGAAATTCGGAAAATGAAAAATATGCCAGCCTTTTGGTGCGTTTTCTCCTCTTTTTATGCAAATATCTCCGCCAAACCTGCGCATTGGCAGATAGTTCCATTTGCAAATTTCATCCTAATTATATTCGTGATCGATTGGCACTAATTTCGTCCAAATCTTTGAGCATACGTTGGGAGACCTCCATTGTCAGTAGATAAACACGGAATGAACGATTGCGTAATATTGTGTGTAATAAATATGTAACGAAAATGAAATGCGTCTACATACATTCGACTGACAAGGAGATGCATGATGCCTCACTTTGATTTGGTTTGATGCAGACATGGTGCAATTTATTAAGAAGATGATGCCCTGCTAACGAGTGGATGAGCAAAGCAAACACATGAGAGACAAGAGAACAGATCCGCCCAATCAACCACACCCACCTCCATTTATTTAACTATGATGAAAATACCAAGTTTTTAAGAAGATTGGGATATGGTAGATGCGGAAAATGTAATATTTTCGAAATTCTAAAATTCTACGCTTTTCATAAATATATTTAGTAACACGAGCATTTTGATCTATTTATTTTAAGGATAAAATGACCAATTTATCTTATTTTCTTTTCAACCTTTGAATGAGACGAGGGAGCAATTTGGCATTTCATTTTATTTAACAGAAAACCTTCAACTCTGGATCGTTTGGTTTCTCTTTATTTCTTTTTTCTCGCTGTATTGTAAAGTTTCTTTTATTTTGTGCGCCGCCTGGAAATCTATTCGTCTGTAAAAACGAATATCTGTGGGTTTTCTTGTACGTTCGGTTGCGTGACTTTCCAAGAAGTGAACATTTAGGAGCTAACAATGAAGAAAATTGGTGTGGATACGTACACGACTGGACCCAACAACCCGCAGTAGAATGTGAATCCCACCAGTCAGTGGCCGCGGAAGGGTGTGGACATAGGGACAATACCCCCCACGGGTATTCGATGTCCGCACCATATATATCTTATATAAACCCATCCCTCTCTTCTCTTAAATATCCTACAATGGCAATGTCCCCAGATGTCCTCACTGCTTCCGCGGCCACTGCCACGAGTTTTTCTGCTCGTCGTCCCGTTTACCGAGAGAGATGCAGTTTACAACCCAACTAACGAACCCACAAAACTCAATTCCTGCCAGTCTCTGAGGGAATTTAAACACTTTAAAAAGTCAAAACAACGAAATAACTAACACCAACTTGCTGGCGTACTAACAACAAAACACGCATAAAGTTATGTAACAGAAGAGAGAATGAAGAAATCTCGGACGAGTAGATAATTGCCACCACTTGTAAATCGTAGTATTTCTCTTTTTCTTAATAAACCTCTGCTCCAAATTGTGTAGAAAATGTTTAAAAAATACTTGTCTCACTCATATTTTAGTATTCGGCCTTTTTTTCGCTTTTTTATTACTAATTATTTTAACACGACGACGTGATCAAAGTTCATATTCACCTGCTCGCCACATTTCGAACCTTCTCGTCGAGATTCTTAATTCTGATCTGAGCGTAATTATTATTACGTGTGTAATTATGTATGAAGAAGAGAAATGCCCGTACTGTAACTATTCACTAACAATGAAACCTTTTTTTCAAGCCAGACTAGGATTGTGGAGCGAGTTGTATCAAAAAATTAGAGCAAATATTGAGACGGAAAGATAAGCGTCATGCGATTCCTACACTGTGAATAAAGTTGAGTAAAATTGCCACCAAAGCAACTATTGAGTAAAATTTACCCTGACAAAGGTAAAATTTACTCAACCCACCAACATCGGGTTTTTCCTCTACTCCCCAAGCCAACTAAGTGTATTTCATAGTTATCAATGTTTATGTTAATAAAAATCTTACAATAAAATTTACTCAAGGTTGAGCAAAAATCTTTCAACCTTGAGTAAATTTTACCTTTGTCAGAGTAAATTTTACTCAATAGTTGCTTTGGTGGCAATTTTACTCAAAATTGAGGAAATTTTGATCAAATTTATTTAGAGTGTAATTTTTGGCTTGATTTTTTGATATAACTCGCAATAAAATCCCGGTGACGCTTGAGAAATAGTTCCATTGTGAGTATTCAATCTCTTAATTTAGTTTTCCCCAGTTACATATTGAGACGTCTCTCACACGCAGCAGAGAAATATGTAAATATGAAACAATGAAAAATCTGTGAGTGAAAGATCAACTGGGAAAGTTGTTTCGAGCAATAAACCAATAAATGCGAGGATAAAAAAGAGCAGTTTTTTTGGCCCGGGGTCATCATGATTAGTTCTTCATCTCATCCTGCTGGAGGACGATTATTAGACTTCATCAGAATCAAATTTCAACGTGGAGCTGAAAAGCCAGCCCCCAATCCGACCACAACACGACCAGCCTCTCATTTTCCTACCCATCCGCTCAATTACACCTCATCCTCAAAAATCAAGATGAGATCGGGTTCATTTACATCTCTTCTGCTACATTTCGGCAATATTTTACAACTTTATTATCTTCCTCGTATATTTAAGATGTACGTATTTCGATGACCTAAAGCAAGATATGGGACTCAATTTTCAAAGAAAAACTGATGCTAACGTAGGACTCGATGGCTCATCACAAATCGACATTTTTAATTATTGGGAATTTATTTTAAAATTCTGAACGACAAATTTGTAGTCAGTGAGTTGATTAATAGAATGACCGTCAGTGAATTTTTTAAGTCAGTTTCGACGAGTTCCAATTTTTCTGAAAGGTTCTTAAACTTGAGATCTCCTCCTCCAAAAAGGGTCAAAATCTGGAGTATATATTTCTAGAAAATTGATAACTCCCTACTCTGCTAATTTGCCTTCCAAAATTTTAAAATAAATTCCTACAGAGGAGAAATGATTAAAAATGTGGTAATTTTGGTTATAAGCCATCGATTCCTATCTTATTAACTGACTCACTAGAATGTAGTTGGGATCCACAAGTTTTCATCCATTAATCCAATTTTGTTTGTAAATTTTGTTAAGATAATCATCCAAAGATTACTAAATGAAGGATAACTGTGCAGTACTTATCTACATGTGTACAATGTCGATTTTATAAAAATAAATGATCCTCTTGTACATACATATGTAAGCAAACCGTGTTTAACACTTTTTAAAATATCACATGACACTTTTAGCTGATTAAATGAAACTCTGCTCTGCTTTCCTTATTCACATGTGTATGCCACACTTGAACTTAAGGCACCACGAAATAGCACCACGTTACACGACACGACACAACTTGCTTCCTTCCGTTCCTCGGTTAAATATTTTTTGTTCTGGAGTTACTCAGGTTCGGAAATGCGGACTAATTTTAGTGAGTTTCTCCTCCACATCCGTGGCAGAGCAGAAGCATTCCTGTATTTTCTCGGAGAAGATTTAAAGATTGTTTTGAACCTTCAAGCCTTCAGCATGATCACTGGAGATCTTGTCGGCTTAACACTTTTTCCGCCGCCGCAGTTCACAAATCACCTTTCATCCCGCTCCCCTGCATTCTTTCGAGAATAAACCGGATTTACTTAGCCGGGCATCCATTTCATTAAGAAATTCCTAGGAGGCAGGCGGGGGAAAGAGTTATGATCAGCCCGGTGAAGGTGACGGGGCCATGATGTCACCACAAATCGGACCAAAGTTGAACGGAGGATTTTTATAATTCGCAAAATGTGCCAAGTTTGGGTTACTCTAAAAATATGGTAGAGTCGCAGATATGTACTCCGTTTGGTAATAACTTTCTACCCGATTGGTAGTAGTTTGTTTCTGATTGGTAAATTTGTCATTGCAACATTACTTAAACCATAATGCCTGTTATTACTACCGTAGCGGTAGAGTTATCAATGTATACACATATGCACTCCGATTAGTAATGATTTAACACCGGTTTTCTAATAAGAGTATGATTTGTTTTAATGAATCATACTTTACACAAATTCCAACTTTCACCAGACTGCTTTCACCACCACGAACTGCTCGGATTACGCAATTTTCCCACTATTTTGAGACGAACCAAGTACGAAATTGCAGAAACGAATGGATGAAATCACTTTGGAAATGGTATCCAACTTTTCTGAGCGAAGTATTTATGAAAAGTTGTATGATTTCAGTTCTTTTTGCGAGAGTGGAATTGGTTCAGTCCGATAAGACCGACTTCTAGGAAAGGACTGAAGCCAGAATGGAATGAAAGGCAATGAATCCTGGTAATAAGTTGGTTATACTCCGCCTTGCAGGCACGAGCAAGGAGACCGACCACCCAAGTCGACAACTACTTAATACACACATATACAACTTAACTGACTTGATCATCATCGTAGCTCGTAGCTCGTATAGAAGAAGAAGAACCTCTTTCTTCTTTCATGATTCCATTCCACTCGACGTCAACAGTCAAAGTCAAGCAAGTTAAGTCTTCAAAGGGATAAAGACCAGCAGAGAGAGATTCGTCATTTATGTAAAATGAGTCAAAAAGCTTGAAATCTCCTTTTAAAAAGGTTCTTCTCCTCGAAGAAGGGACAATGAAATGGTAAAAACCAGCGCAATTGTATGACAGGAATAATGTGATTGTTACACAAGCTCTTGAAGATAAATGTTGCAAAATCGTTAAAAATTCGCTTGAACGAGTATCCATATTATTAGCTTAATCATGTCAAGTCGTCGATCATCATCACAAGTGGACTCGGACTCATGGATAATATTTACTCGTGTAATGAAGATGATGATGATCACCTTTGTGTAAATACGTGTCACACATTTTGTCAAACATTTACTCCTGTCAATCCCCCGACACATTCCTGGCTTTCTTTTCTGTGACTATGCGTTGACAGGTGACAATTGGGCATTTTTGATTCAGCCTTTGTGATAAAGAAAGTGTCGACGAGAGGGGATTTCTATTCTATGCGGAAAGTTCGTGGGGTGGAGTTTTTAGAGATTTCTTCCTGTATTTTTAGTTAGTTAAGACGAAGCAATTTTTTAGTGGGACCGTTCGAATTTTAATTTTTTGCGTAAAAATTTTTGTACCAGAGCATTATGTAATCCTCTGTTTGACAGGTTGGCTAGGAGGAGTGGGATTTGGATTTATTTTGCTATCTCATAAAATCAAACTAATAAACAATTGAATACTTTTTGAGATTTGAATCGACTGGGTTGAGCCAGCCCAATCACCAGAGGAGATTCTTGCACGATCTCTCCAATTTCAATTGATATCTCACATTTACTGTATTTCATAGATTGTGTCTCATACACGTTTTATAAAAATCAGATGAGATGGGATTTATCTCAGGCATAAAATAAAAGGGAGGATCAGTGGCCGCGGAAGCGACCCCACGGTTATTCAATGTCCCCCCGTGTCGTGTAGACCCCTCCCTCCCCTATCCTACAATGTTAATATTCTCCGTTGTCCCCACGACTTCCGCGGCCACTGGTGACTCCTGTATGGGATAGCTGGCTATTTACCTCCGCATGGTTTAAGCTAGTCGTGAATTTATAATTTTAAATAAATAAAGGGAAAATAGAATCTTGAGCAAATCCGGCTTTCCTTAGGACTCCATATGGATATTTAGGTATAAGCATGCAGCGTTGTTACATGCACACGAGGAATTTGGATGGAATACAATTCATTTATGCAATGTGGAATGGAACAAAGTTAAGAAAGACACAAGGCTTATTCCTCCTATGAGACGAGTATGAGTATGATTCTGCATTTTTGGGCCTAATCTCCCATTCGATTGTCATAATAAAGTAGGAGACGAGAAGATTCATCACGACTCTTACAATGGAGGTCTCCCAACGTATGCTCACAGATTTGGATCAAACTGGTGTCAATCGATCGCAAATATAATTAGTATGAAATTTGCAAATGGAACTATCTGCCAATGCGCAGGTTCGGCGGAGATATTTGCATCCAAAGCGGGAAAAATGCGCAGCAAATTTGGAAAATAACAAATTTGCAAGCCTTGAGGGTGCGTTTTCTCCTCTTTTTATGCAAATATCTCCACCAAACCTGCGCATTGGGAGATAGTTCCATTTGCAAGTTTAATACTAATTATATTTGTGATCGATTGACACTAATTTCGTCCAAATCTGTGAGCATACGTTGGGAGACCTCCATTGTTAGTTATCAATACGTTCTGCGAGGAAGGAGGAGACGTATTTTTGTGCGAGTGAAGAAAGAAGAAGCCAGCAGACTTTAAATGCTTTATACGTTTCAATTATCTCATTATGACAGGGCCCATTATGCACGGCGAAGGAGGATAAATGTCGAAACCTTAATTTTGTAAGGAGACGACTTACTAGTGAGATATGGAAATATGCAGTGCATCTCGCTCTTACAAAAGGCGTTAGGACATGGTTTTGACGAATTCATACCTTAATTGCGGGATGGTTTTTAGTCGTAGAGATTTCTAACTTTTTTTATGTGAAAGCCCATGTCTCAAACTATAGGTAAGCATATCTGGCTTCCGATTTTGTTTACTCTGCGAAATGAGGCAAGGTCAAATTTGGAGAGGTGTCCTTTTTTAGTTTTCCAAACCAGTGTTCTTAAAAAATGGCGTTGAACAAAAGATTTGTTTATTAGGTCCTGATGCAAAATTCGTCTTTGCGACTATTATCAAGGGACTTAGCATGTTTTTCACTATATAAAACCACTTTTATCTCATGCTTATCTTTTAAGTCCCTTTTGTAGTCTAGCTTCATACTTGTCCTAATGGAATACTCTCGTGAACGCAACTCCTCGACTTTTAAGGCCCCCACATTTTACGACTTTGATGCTAAAAATCCCTAACGTGGTTTTTATCCAAGGTACATATAGTATATTGCACTGTAAGTACTTTTGACACAATTTTGATAAGTGGTTAAACCCCACGGACTGAGTTTTCATCAGACCTTATAAATTTTTTGGAAAAGTTCCCGTCGTTTTCGATGTCGAACTTCAGAAATAATCTAACTAACCAAAACGCAATAATTTTATTATTTTGTCACTTGTACCTTGTAGATAAAATAGTTCTGCAGTAGGGGACACAAAAAGATTAGTAAAATTTATTTTCGAAAAAAATTGACCATTAATTTTCCAAATAAGTTCACGAGTTTTTAGGATTCCTCGACAGCTGATTAGCTAGGGTCGTTCTCCAGAACTGTTTACACAAAATCTTCACTGTTTAATTTAATATTATTTGGGACACTTAGAGCTTTGCCCTCAATCTTCATTTGACCGAGTGGGTCCGCTTTCAAGGTCAGCAGGTCAATTTTCCAGTGCACGGTCCGATTTATCAATTTTCATGAAAAAGTATCAGCGACGATGGAGGCCCAACGTTATGTAATTGATGTAGATTCTTTTATTATTACATGCAATGATTATCTAGGGTTGTAATATTAACAATCATTCACCTCTGACCTCATAGGTTATCATGCTATATGAGAAATTCAGTTTGGAAAGTGTTTTTTTGTCTCCTTCCAACTCTGGGGGCACTGGAGGGGGCATTTATAAAGCTATCGGCCTAAAATTTTAAATATATCTTTTTGAGAGTATTATCTTGCAACTGACCAAAAATCAGTTCAAAATTCAACTCCCCGCCAGAGATATTCACCCGCAAATTCGTCAAAACCATGTCCTAACGCCTTTTGTATTTATTTATTGATCTAGTAGTGGATGGAGTCCAAATGAGAATATTGCAAGTCTAATTAAACCGTCCGCCTTATAAATAATGTGTAATGAAGATATTACAGGTGGTAGGGTCGCTAATCAAATGGAGGAAAAGCGATAATTCGTGATTATCAGGGTTTCGGATGGAAATAACCACGTGCAAGAAATAACGGGTAGAAAGTGGTTTTTTTCAGGTATTTTGACCTGCAAGAAATGCAAGGCGCTAGAAACTACGCCCTATTGTTACACTTCATATGGCAATGACGCCAATTTCTTGCACTTTCTTGCAATTCCTTGCACCTTTCATTTCCAAGAATTCTCGCTTTGCAGTGCAAGAAATGTAGCAAACCCGTAAGAAACACTAGTGATTACATATTTATCTCTTTTTTGGAAAGGTCAGCACGAGATTGTGTTTCACTCAGAATAGACAAGAAGAAGCTATTATAAACACACCGTTCCGTCTGCGTCTTTTTTGGCAAACGGACTTATTTACAATTATTGCAAGGCAGAATAAGCTTCCGATTAAGCAGTTATGTATACCCTTTTGAAGAGAGGAGAAAGGCATTAAGTTGGGAAAACTGCCTTATTATTATCATTGTTATGTAACGACGCTGCTCATTCTCCGCTCTCCTCACCGTATTTGTGTATTTCTTCCTAAGTAAATAGGTTCTTACGTACACTCTGGCCAAGTATTTAAGTGGCATGCGAGTTAAACACCCTTTACAGCTTTACAAGTCTCTTGGTTGGATAGCGTCTTAGAAATAAATGGACAGTAACAAATTAAGTAGTAAAGATTTATCCGAGGCTGACTTTGAGGAGCCATTCATTCGTGTCAAGTTGAATGTTGGAGTCAATCTCCGTAAACAAAGGGAAACCAATAAAAAAAAAGTGGAGGATTCTTACAGGTGGTGGACGGAGGTGGTAGTTAGTGATGCGACTACTAATTACACTCCTGCTAGTCTCTCTCTCTCCACAAAATTCAAATCCAATCTAACAAAGACATCACTTTGCTCTTAAGGAGAAGATGAAGATGAGCCTGCTTTACCTTAAAAACGTACATCGTCGTATTTAGTATGGTACGATTAGGCTCATGTATGTGTTTGCTTATTTACGGGCATTAAGCCGGGCCACCAACTTAATAAATGGCAGGTAGGCAATGGGAGAGAGATAATATGCATGGTCGTCGTGGTGGTGGGGATTCAGGGAATAATGGTAATACCGCTTTTTAAGCATTTTACGCTTTTTAGGTGTTGCCAACCAGTTTACCTCTTCATTATGGAAGGATGAGGATGAGGAGGGATCCGTCCGGTGACTAAAAGACGCTATAACCTATACTCTTCTGTTATCTGTACCCATGAATATGTATCTAAAGAGATGACGCGGTTGTTGTTATCCAAAGTATTTTACACTTTATGTATATGCAGGGTTTCGCTGTGGTTTTAATCATTGTGCTAAACAGTCATTCAAAACCGGTCAAGACTGGTGTTGGACACTGAATTTTGGACGCCCAAAATGT